TGCTTAAAGCGACATTATGTAACTTTCCTACCTTAAAATAACAGCTTCGCTACCATTTTGATGCCATGATGACTTATTATAGTGGAAATGGTGCCTCAGTCATCCCCACTCTCTCCCTCACCCCCCTGTTCTTACAAGGCTTTACAGCACTACTTCCCAAACCTCCAACAATGTCACCGATTTTGGTGAAACAGAAAATGTTTTCTGGCTTTGCCACAGAGTAACTGCTGCGAACTATAGCTGCAGTTAGTGAGGTAGCTTAGCCGTACTGCCCAGGACTGGGTGCTCAGAGCCCCGGGGGGGTTGTTCGTGCTTACACTGGTGGCATAGGAGCTTTGGACCGCCGGGAAGAGGATGTATTCAAGAATCACGTGTTTTTAATTCTATAAAGTTGTGATTCTCGTTGCAAAATCACCACTTGATAAACACATTCACGACACATTCTCCCTGCTTGCTCTTGTGTTGCTCAACCTCGCAATTGTTTTTGTGCCGTGGTTACAGATGAGCACTGACGCTGAGACACAAGAGGCCTGTTCCAAAAGCTCTGGTGTCTGGCACCAGTCCCAGAGAAGGTCATGTCTGATGGACCCTGCTCTTGCTTCCTCTGTTTATTTTATGTCAGTGCCTCCCTGCGACAAGCTGTATTTCCTCTGTCAGTTATTGTCTGTGACAGAGATGTCGCTCTCAGCACATCGGCCAGCACCGTCCTAGGAGCCCTTTTTGGGATGGTGCCCTGGTGACTCAGGGGACGAGAGGGGGAAGTGGAAGATGACATCAGTGCCTGGCTGCTCCTCTTCTGTAGCTTCCCAAACCCACCCACCCACAGACACCCACCGCCTCAAGAGCTAGACAGGAGATCTGCTTCACTTGTGGTGAAGCCTCGAGCCTGTTGTTCCCAGTTCCTAGGAAACTTTCTGATGCAAGCTCTGGCAACTTAACCTTGAAATCTTTCCATTAGAGAAACTAGTGCAAGCGTCACTTTGAAATCAAAGTAGACCAGTATAGTTTGTCAGATAAAAAAGCCAAACACAAGTACTGCTGTGTCATAGTTTGATTGCTCAGAGTAATTAAGTAGTAAGTGCCCTAGACAACGTCATACTTTGAGAATCTCCTACCTTAAAGGGAAAACAAATTGTGCAACATGCAATATCCCCAGACTCATGCGTGGGCTCTAACCAAAGTCTGTTTATGATGAAAAAGCAGCATGACAGCAGTGAGCCAGCCATGAAGAGACTGCATCAAATTGGTTTTGTTTTGGCGTTGTTCACATCCCGGGACTCTGGCATTCCCTCCACCCTTTAAGCAACAATGGCAGCAGTGTTGCAGTTGCGAGGCCTGTGGGCCAGGCAGCTCACTTCACACTCTGGCTGTTGTTTACTTGGAAGAGGAGTATGAGGAGTGGGAGCAGCCATAGGGATGAAGCTGCCACTTCCCAGAACGCACAAATGTAGCTTTCGGCAGCAGAGCAAGCCGACTGTTATGACAGCTCGAGAGCAGTTCTGGAGTCAGTTTATACAAGCAGACTAGGCAGGAACAAACAAGCAACTTTGATGCTTCTGATTCATATCATATATCCTGAGTTACACAAGCTACTGTTTAATCAGTTGTAACACTGCAACTCCATTTTTTTTTTTTACATCAAAGAATCGTTATCAATTAGTGGCGACGGTGCCTAACTCAAGTGTTTTTTCCTGGCTTCTTCCCCCCAGCCTCTCTGTATATCTCCGTAGAACACAGTATGATAAAAGCTGCTGACATTTGTATGCCGACTCTCATCTAACTCCTTTCAGTCTCTTACCGGTTTCGGCATCTCTGCTTCCTCTCCTCCTTGCACCCGACAGCTGAGAGGATAAATCCGTCACAGGACGGCAACAACACCTGTATCACAGGACCTGAAAGCGAAAGAGACAGTTTTTCCTTCAGGCACACAGTATACATGGGTGAAACAACACGAGCAGCTGCCTACGTAACTTTTTTTGCGTTCTCTCTCTAACTAAAACGCTGTGACAACAAACAATATATTTCAGTTCATCCTTAAATGTAGCAGTTGACTGAACTGAGCAAAAGTAGAGTACCCAAAGAACAGACCGAATGAAAAAGAAAGAAACTGAAATGAATCCAATTCCTGAATCTGTTAATTACTACAAGGCACAGAAACCCCAAACAGCCAGGAGCATAAAAAAGTGGTTTTGCATCCAATCTACACACTCCCACATAACGTACATATGGTAACTATTGCAAGGGTGTATGGGGAATCTACTTAAAGCATAATTACTGAGGAACAGAAAAGTCACAAAGGCATTACACGATGACTCATGGACATGGCTGTAAAATGATCTTTGGTTGCACTTTATCAGAATAGAAGATCTGTCTGACACATTATCAGATAACTGGACCACACAGTTTTATCTCTTTCACTCTGCATCTCGTCATTGCAGTTCTGAAGACAGTTCAAACATCCCTTACGTGTCTTTTCCATTATCACATGTAAGGTATGTTTATTTTAAGGTAACACTGTTGGACACTGCTGCTTCAACACCCAGCTGTCCTGACCTTCAATTTTGCCAAACTATTTTAATACTACATAAGGGATTCCTGAGTTCTTGGCAATAGTGTGGCATTAAAGTGTCATTCAGTTCTCCCCTTACACAATCCTGTAGTGGCAAGTTGGCAAATATATTAATCCCACCTACTTTACTACTTTTTGAATTTAATGCCCAGGTAATCCTCTGTTACAGCCCTAAATATTTTTACACTCAGAATCCAAAACAAGGCCATTAAATGGTATTATATAGTAGTATACGGCTCTGATAGTGGCCTTACAGACAGTGTGACATAAACTATGGTTGTGTTAAATGAATAAATGTGTAAGGCAGTCCACTGATCCTCTGAGCTGTAGCGTTTGTACTCCAGATGAAGACCTGCCCACTTGTAGCTTGTACGCAATTAGCTCGTCTATTTGCCCGCCGAGAGTTGGCTTCCGTTACATTGTAATTTAACCACAATTTAATCAAATGGTGGACAACTGTTGCCAAAACGTAATCTACAACTGCAAGACACGACGAAAGAAAAACCTAAAAAACCATTACCCACCGTTTATCTTGTCGAAACACCCTTTTTTTTCTGAGTTTCACTCGGTAACGCATTGATGTGAACAGTATCACGACTCTTCATCTGAAATACTTTAATGAAGTCAAGAGGTGGACCGCTGAAATGCTGACATGTTTTAAGCTGGTGGGTGTAGTCTATATAACGGGACGAGACTGGCCAAGCTTTGCCTCGCTCATGCCTGTGAAGTTTCGAAGCATTAAAAAAAAAAAAAAAAAATACAATTGGCCATCATTAATTCACCACATTTGCCACCAAACACAAGAAACACCCCGAAAAAATATGTGACTTACGTAAGGCAAGCTACGGTGCGTTTACTTTAGGGGCACAACTTGGTACAAGTGGGCATTGCTATCGTGTCGTATAAAATGTGAAGTGGTCGAACACGAGGATATCCGCTATTGCATCAAACTTGAAGAGAAGCTCATCTTTTTTTTTTTTTTTAGGGAGAGGCAACTCACCGGGGGGACGAAGTATGTCTTTAAATTTGTAGAAAAAGCCTCGTATCTTCAGATGTAACAGATATATCCACGAAGAGAAACCCGTTCCGGTCCTCGCTCCTTATCTCGTAGTGCTTTTACCGAAACAAATTCTCGCAGACATAGAAAAACCGTGGAAGTCTTAGCAACCATAAGGCGATTTGGGGTGCCAGCGTCGAGCCAGCCGGAATAAAATACTGCAGCTTCCGGCCTCAACTTTAAAAATAAAAGCCCTGTGAATGCATGCGGTAAAATGTGTACATAAAGACTTTTAAGTATCGCAGTCTTACTTACTTATCTATCTCAACTTGTTATTCCTGAACTATTAACAATAGTTAAACAAGTACCAGTAAATATGGTCATTCAAAAGTATCTTACACTAGGCTACTGTAATGACGAATATAACAAAAAAAACAACAGAGTGCTTTTAAACTATAGTTTCACTTTGTATCTTAACCATCCAACTAAAAGTTTAAAGTTAGGTTGCATAATGTTTGTTCTGTACGCCCAGATAGTTCCCCCTCAACAGTTTTTACATTACTTTGAAGGGGGAAAATGCCTGATTTCCGGTCTTGTCTTCAGTTTCTGTCGCAAACCTGACGCAGCTAATTGTGGAGATGTTCAATATGGCTGTCAGTAGCCGAGGAGTGGATGCGAGGCATGTGTGGGACATGCATTGTGCCACGAGCTGTATGGGGGTTGACTAATATCACACTGAACGTTTTTTAATTGGCTATACATCTGTGGCAGAGCTCCCCGCCCTGCACCCCCCCTGGCAGACTGCATCTGTGCAATAGCTTGCGCTGGAAGTGGTTCATTTTGCACAGAATCACGTGCACCCAGTCTGCAGTTGCAGTATGTGTCAGTTCTTGCAGTTTAGATCTGTGTTGGATTGAGTTTAGCATGCATCATATCCAGTGGGTGTACAGTGTATATCTGACCAAAAGTAGTTAAATACTTTCATACAAATTACATCATGCTGAATACATTGATGTTGTGAAGTAGCCTAAATATTCCACACAAAGTGCATTTAATGTAGTTTTTCTTACTCTTCCTGTACTTTGTTGCAGAAAGAAGCCTCGGCTAATAGGTGTCCAGTTCAACAATTATGTTTGCTCTCTTAACCTATCTGACAAAAGTGGCTCATAGCTTTATGTCTATGTGAATAAAATCAAACAAGTAGGACTCTATTCTCTCAAGACCCCTGGATGCTAGTCTGTGTCTGAAATAACTACATTTGAATAGTTAATCATAAATAACCAATAACTTAAGTACCTGATATTGCCTACACAGAGTCAAGTCAAGTCAGATTTTATTTATATTTTGCAAAAGAAGAAGGTAAAACCCCTTTAATGGTGAAAAAATAAACCTCAGGAGGAGCCGCAGAGGAGGGAAACCTCTCCCAGGAAGGAAGGACATGCAACAGAACTGGAGTTTACAGAACAAACCAACAGAATCACATTATATACAAATTTGATGACAGAATTTCTGATACACGAAGATTATAAAACATGTGAAGAATGTGGCTCCAAGAGGACGCTGAAACGACTTCAGATGTCACAGACCTCCTACCCACCATGGAGACCTGGAAGAGGACAAGCCACAGAATCGATCAGCAAAAATCTAAATATATACAGATACTGAAGACAAAAATATCAATATATATATATTTGTAAAACACAAGTGAAAAGTAGGATCCAGGAGGATGTTGAGTAACTTCAAGTGTCGCTATAAAGGCAGAACTTGACCCACACGACCTCCACAGAGAAGGTTTGTTGTGTGGATTCAGAAGTAATTTTCTGCACTTCTTTTTGTCTGCCATCAGATGTCATGGCGTCTTTTCTGCTGGTGTCCCAGATGGGTTAATAAAAGCTCCTCCATCTGTTGGTACAGAAGAGGGATTTAATGTATTTTTTATTTGTTCGAGTGTTTTTGGTCACATTGCCCTGCTGACACACACACGCACTAGAGAGGAAACAGCTGCAGCCACAGTACTGCAGATGCCTCTCGTTGTCCAAGCTGTTACCTTGGAAGCAGGTGAAAGGGATCACAATAAATGTACAGCAAGCTCAAACAGACATAACAATAAATAGTCATGGAAATAACTAACTATAGGCCAAAAAGAGTTCTGGATGGAGAATGAAAGTCCTGCAGACATATAATCTATGGTGGCGGTGCACTAAAATCATCTGTGGCCCCTTCTCGTAGCCTGCTATGGTGGCAGCTCTCAACACTATAAACTGCTGTGGTTGAAAATGATATTAAAAGTGGACAATTTGACTCAGTGTGTTATAAAAATTCGACAGACATCATGTCTGACTGCACTGTCAATCCCTCCTTCCAAGTTTCCACCCACTCTCCTCCATTGTCCATGTCCTACTTTTCTTTTATTCCCTTACTCTTTTCTTCCTCCCCCTTCTTTCATTATTTCATTCTTCTTGTGTCCCTCCTTACTTCCACTCCCCTTTATTCCCTCTTTATCTGACTTCTGTCTGATCAGTGTTTGAAGCTTATCTGAGGAACACAGTCACACTGACGCATGTAGACATGCTGCAGATGTTTGTTCTTAGATTTACAGAGACAATTATACAAGGAGGATGTTAGTGACAGAAAAAATGTTACTTGCCATATTTTTGGTCTGTCTGGAGACTTTGTAATATGTTTCTATAAACGTTCCCCCACCCAAAATTAAATATTACCAGGGACTTCAAAGCGTTCTTATTGGAAACTCAAGTCAACATTGTTATTTTAATAAAACTCTGTTGCATATTTGTTTAAGTTATTGAATCAGTATGATGTTCTGATCATGGTGATACTGTCACTGCTCATAATAAGATAAACATACAAATTTTTAAGATTTTGAGAGTTGGAATCAGCCACAGTTGTACAGGACAAACATATATTCTGACTTTGTCCTGCAATTCCAGTACAAAGCTCCAATTAAAAAAAGGAAATTTTCGAACTATTTAAATAAAACAAGCAGCTCTTGAAGCTCAGTTGTATTCATTTGTTAGGATATACAAATGTTAAGATACGACTGTGTGTGTCAGGCTGAACTTAAGAACTTAACTACACCTTCAAATTCAAACTCAATTCAAACTGAATTGCTAAACAGCAACATTGATAAATTTCTCTTAGTGAAATGACTGGATGTGAAACAGATCCTTAGCAGAGACATTTAGGCATATTGTGGTTCTCCAGATGTGTTTCTACTCCACAGATGTCACAGCAGCTCATTAAAAGTTCTTATCATTTATAGAAAGGGGGGGTCCTGACACCTGCTGGACAGAGCACACCGTTGCAGCCTGTCTTGTTCTCTCTCTCTCTCTCTC